TTTGAATTAAAATTTTAAGCGCGAAAATTACGTGTTTTGATTATATTTTCCTACAAAACAAAAACTGATAACGCATACAAATCTCTATGACAACACTTCTCGACTAGTAAGCGTAACAAAGTTTTTGTATCATTTTTCAGAAAAAAAAACAGCTGAATCGCTACTGAGACAGTATTACGGCTTTAAATTGACGGCATTGGCAGAAAATATATACCCAGCTAGCCGTTAATTTATAGCCGTAACGCCCTCTCAAAATTTAGTTTATAGTATTTGCCAACAAAACCGTGATATTGTCTATACTCCTAGCAAGTGATAAATTGCCCCTCTTTCAAATCAACGGGCAACCCCGTCTCCAGGGTTCTCTCCTACCCGTCCGACGGAGCGAGAGAGAGAGAGAGACCCCGGAAAACGCTGGTCACGTGGCTCCAGAAGAAAATTATTTTTGAGGGAGGAGTCCTTTGTCTCACGCGACGTTCACGCAGTGATCGCAACAGCAAGATAGATTTGCTAACCCTACTACAACTATAACTGAAACTAAAGGAAATTTCTGCCTAAACAAAACTATCAGATAAATAAGTGAATTACCAGAGAAGGAATCAATTATTATACACAAGCGAGTTAATTTTTTGAAGGTAAAATCCCTGTATGTTGAACTTCTATATTAAAGTTTCAATGCTTGTCTGACAGCGGCTGGTAATCGGGCCAAATAAACCTACACCATTTGCGGTCTTAGCGGTTCGGCGTGACAAAACCCCAGGACAAAACATGGCAGTTACATTGAGAGCAACAAATTTAGTTAATCAGGGGCACCCAACGAAGATATTGTTCAAAACCACTTAACATAGCATTGTTGAACGTATTTTAAAAACTTTTCATCTGTTCGGATTTCCTAGCTGAAAGTCTAGTGATCCGAAAATTATAGGGATCAAAACTTACCTTTTCGAAAATTTCAGCCAGGAAAAGACTCCCGAAAATTCTAGGTGGCCTTTTTTAGGGTAAATATCCGTTTAAAATGGGTAATTATACCATTTTGTAGATGTTCGAAAATCCTAGGAGAGGCAGGCAAGCAAGAAATTTTACAACAAATAGCTACAAATGTACCGAAAATTCTAGTTCTCAAATCGTCTTCCGAACAGATATTTTCCCGAAAATTGCCTTTGGGTGCCCCTGGTTAATACATTTACGATCAAAGTAATATTTTAGATCTAGTGACTTCACGGAAAGCTATAGCCTAAAATGTCTGGATTTTCCACCCCCTAACCTTTGTCATGATGCGGCAAAAGAAACGTGGTAAAAGATCAAAGATAGAAATAATTATATACCAACGCGACATGTAAGACAACAGGAAATAGTATAAACAGAGACAAAACAGACAACATAACCTTCCAAGCCAAAGGCTTTGTTGTTTATGGTCAATATGAAAACTTTATGTAAAAACACATGTGGCTCAGTGATTTCCAAAAACCCTCTAAAGCATACCAGAAAATTAATAAGGAACAATAAACGGTTGGCAGTTGTGCAAGCCATATCATACGGTATTTTTTAACAAAGAAGCTTACGGCTATCCTGATAATTATAAACGACGACAAAAACTGCAAAAACACAGAGCCTTGGCTAAAAATGTTTTCTTTCAAGATTCTCTTTACCTCTTTCCATTTGAACAATAGCTAACAATCAGCCTGACTGTCCGAGCCGCGTATTCTCTCTCTTCCTGTTGCTTCGAGGCAGTTCGAGGTCGCGGGTGAGGACAGCAACGCTTGATACATTTTTTCGGCGCCTTGCATAATAGTAGTCTTGAAAACACATACAGATACAGTACATGTGTTTTCTAAAGTGGCCTCCACGACATATAAACGGCAATTCAAGTCTAGTGCGTTTCGATACGATTACTACTACCAGGATACCTAAATTATTTACGGTGAATCCTCCGCGATTTCCGTTGCATGTGCCAAATGAAAGCATCGCTGATAAACATCCGATTAACATGCAGATATTCTGCAGGAAGTTACGCATTCGCTGTCAAAGGACTTTGTGCATTATTTTCCGCGTTCAAGATCAGGTCAGGTACACAGTTTGATGGCTGCACTGACCTGTCTAAGCTCTGTAGAGACAAATCTCACACTTACCTGCCACTCCCCCAAATCGTTTGTTTGTAATCTCCCAGATCTTGGGAGACACGTGACCAGCGTTTTCCAGGGTCTCTCTCTCTCTCTCTCTCGCTGTTTTCTGTAAAACAAAAATAAAGAGAGGAAAAGGGTTATAAATAATAAACAGATATGACCTCGAACTCATAAATCTTAGTAGCTGATAGAACGCGTGACAGTCAAGAACCCGTAAAGTATCTGTAACACATACGTGATGAGTATTTATTGGTTTACTGGAAGAACTGACTTAAAGCAATTATTTCTTAGAAAATGTCGTCAGTTAAGAATTGCTTTACTTTAAAAGAAAAAGCGTTTTCTCAAATAGGAAAAACGCCTCGAAGACCTTTGGATTTTTCAACTCTTTCTCTCTCAGTAGTACAAACAGTAATATCTTTTTAATTGTAGTTTAATGCATCAACGGCATAAATAATTGTTTGACGTCTTGTATGAGGAAGTTAGTTGGTTCTCATTCAAACATGCTCTTGTGCTAGATGTGTTCTATGCCGCGAGTCTAACCTTTAATCGGATGCGAATTCCAGGATTCCTGCACCCTCTTGAGTCCGATCTCAGCTACATTCATGGTAATGAAAGAAAGGCAAAGTTTTACAGCAGTGTCATTTAGGTTTATCATCAGATTGGTCTCCATCCTCACAATAACATCTTTTATCGGGTAAATGACTCTCTGATTGACTTCTGGCCACTTGTGTTCTGCTGGCAAATTCTGATAATGGAAACGGAATAAGGGGTATAGTAGTGTTAATGAGTCACAACAAAATCCTTATGATGTCGTTACAGTATCGCGTTTATAGTACACTTTACACCGATGGACGCCTCCTTTCTACTTACTTGCCTAGACTGTGTCTGGATATACGGTTTGCAACTCAGGTTTTCCCTTTCGTTTCTCAATAGATTCTGCAAAAAAAGCATCAGGTAAGCCTTGGCGCCATGGTCAACTCTTATCATATCCAAAATGCCCTCACAGAGCGAGGATCTCCCTGCAGAGATTAACATAGAGCAAGCGTTTCTAAAGTACATTACATTGTTGTACTGCAAAAGATAGATCAGCTGAAATAAAAAAAAAAAAAAAAATCTCACAAGGTTAAAACGATATACAAAGAGATGATAACATTTACAACAAAAAGGTGTTTAAAATATTATAAAAATTCCAACAGCCTAGGTTAAAAAATAAAATAAATAAATAGATAAAACTTACATTTAAGCTGCATTTTGTTTTGGTCTGGCAAATACTGACAAGTTTGTGACTTGAACGTTCGTTAGCCCATAATAAGTTGCTCCCTTCTTAGCAGAGAATTTGAACGTAGACTAGTCGATGCAAGCGGATTTGAATTTCTCTTGTACCTCTTAAGAGGCAGAGAATGGCTGCGCGGGAGACTGGGTTTTACCAACCTACAAAGGGAAAGTGATCCCTGATTGACTGCATGACTGCATTGTTTTTTAGGCGTGGATTCTTGACCTGCAACCATCGCTAAGTGCATACAACGTACATCCATACATCACTAGTTTTTAATTCTGGTCGCAATGTAGCTTGTTTCCATAGTAAAGTGCATTATAGGGAACCGGATTTCTTCAACGCACGGTGTCCTCCCTCCGTCTCGCATGATCCGCTGGATTGACACGTCTCAACGACTTAGATATAGCTACCTGTTTTCCGATTAGGTGTAATCCCTTGCTGCGAACATAGCCCCTCATCATTTTTCGTCCATAAGTTGTTGCAACCTGATATTGGAGACGAATTTGTCTCAAATAATGTAATATATAACTACAATACAGAAATAAATAGAATGCTGAGAGTCTTACCTCGCTCACACACTGTTGAATGACAGCATCTGTCTCCGCTTCGTTCAGAAAAGCCTCCTTAACTTCGGGAAACCCTTTGCTCAAATAAATTACTGATCTCCTTGTATGATTAATTTTTGTTCGCTTTTATATGACTGCTTATCACGTTAATATTACTTTCAAAATACGCCATAATGGTCGGTGCCAAATTCAAACTGAAAGTCACATTACCAATTTACAAACGGCGGGAAAAAAGGGCGCGTCAAGCTCTGCGATTCACCGCTGAGTTCCACCTTGACAGCTGCCAGCCAAAAAGCCCAAACAAAGAAAAGGAAAAAAGACGACTTTTTTCGGCTTTGAAAAAAAGGGCAAAAACTCGAAAAAATTTCTCTTTCTAGCTTTTTGCGATTAGTGAAATATATATATTACCCAGGAAAGTTGGTTCACTTTATATCGAAGAAAAATCCTAAAAACATCCGGCTTTTTATAAGAAAAGGGGGAACTTTTCTTAGGTTTTTAAAACGGTGAGTGAAAGTTAAAAAAGGGCAACCTTTTTTTTTTAGTTTTGGGTGTTAAATACACATAAAGACCTTGATTTTTAGGCATTTTTCACTTTCGTAATCCGCGTTTTTAGTCAAAAGTAGAACTGCCGGAACCGACCACTGATTCCTTTTAGCCGTTTACAGTTTTTGTGGTATTTTTGAATTGAGCGTCAAATTAGGAAAATGAAAAAAATGATCGATTTTCATGACCATTTTCTATTTTTCTATTTTTGTTTTTGTACTCTAAAATGTGTAAACGCGATAAGGATAAGTAAATTTCCTTTTTCCTTTTTTGTTAGAAAAATGAAAAATTAAATTGGCCGAAGAGAGCACGGACCCATCACGTTTTTGTCAAAAGGCAAACGCGAATTTGTACCACGTGATCAAGTTTCTCCTTCACTTGTCGTTTACCGTTCATTAGTTCTACACATAAACTAGCAGTTTGAAGCAATTTTTTATCCATAAGAATGTTCTTGTGCTGTTTTTATCGGCTTATTTTATAATTTGAGAAATTCTCAACTTAAATCTGACTTTCGCCGCTTGCTGTGTACGTGATGCTAAAGCTCTCGTTTATCTCGATTCATAAAAACGCACAAACCGGAACTCTGCCAGTATCCAGCCAGCCACATCTATTGGATTCGTAAATTATTATAATACGACCAAATCATGCAATAGTAAAGTCCGTCCTAAGAAACTAATCATATTACGGGAATTACAGGTTATTTTTAGGTCAGGAAATTGAAAAAGGAACGTCGGACCAAAAGCCAAGGATTTTGTAACCCTGCAATTTTACCCCGAACTACTTTTTTGCTGGCTCTGGAGATCTATTTTAGTCATATTTTTTTTTATAAAGATGGAATATCAAAAAAACACTCTCACTCTGACTACTCTTTCTTATAGGAGGCTTCTATTCGGATACTATAGCGTTTGTCGATGACAGCTGCCTCAGATGTCCAAATGGAACTTTTGTCCCATACACTAAGGCACCTGGCAAAAGCGCCCGTGAGTGCATTGCTTGTCCACAAGGTAGGCATTTTTTATAGTAAAATCCAGTCAAACACAGACCAAATAGATTATATTGATAATGGCAGGGATATCAAATTCAGATCTGCATTCTTGCATGCTCAATGGTCAGTGAATTTCGCGATGCAGATTCGCAGCATTCGATCAGATTAAGAGAAATCGTCTCCGATGGTTTTTGAATAAAATTCTTTATCGAACTCAACAAGAAAAAAAGAAAATTTTAACCATCTTTTGGTGATTTTACTGCTCATTGGATGCTAGTAAGAATGGTAAGAATCACCACAAGATTTCAAAATGTCAATCATTATATGGCTACAATAGTACCAGCGTTCTGATTGGCTGCTAAGCTGGCAAAATTTTCTTGTAACGACCGGGAATTATTCGCAAGGTGTCCACGGCATATACGATCTGTGTTTAACCTGATGGTGGATGGACATCCATGTTATGATCAATTGACAGCTGTCAAAAAGGGTATCTGCTGACCAGTGTCACATGATTATATCGCGGGCTCAAGTGTACAACTCATTGAGATGGCGTGCTCTTTTAAGTTATCCAATGGCCAGTTATTAGTTTTAATTGTTCGCAGGCTGAATTACTTCCGGTGTCTTATATATACCTGGATTTTTGAAAACCGGGTTAGCAAAAAAATTAACTTATTATACTACTTGGCCTTTTAACACCATAAAACTTCATTCAAAGGCCGATTAAAAGCCCTTATCTAACTTCGGGCAGTAAGTTACTAGTTACTTGAAGCATTTCAACGAGTCCAAATTTAAAATGACGCAAATTTTAGAACATTTATTCAGTAATCTGACTCCGTGAGGTTTCACACTGGTGTCATTTCAGTCTAGAAATTTTAAAGTTGAGTGAACTGCAGCGAAAAGGTGCCTGGTTAAGGCTTACATAACAACTTACATAGTTGGAATAGACAACAAACTGAATAAAACATACTACACAAATCATCACCTTCGTATCTGCAAAAACCGGCCTTTTGGTTCAAAGCCATTAGAGCCCGCTAAAACTAGACCTAGATCCAAATTTCCTGAGTCGAGAGTTGCTTATCCAAGGTACAATCAGCTAACACCGAAGAAACGTTTTTATGGCTGGCACAGATTATTTTAAGCGAAACGGCTCAGCCACGCGACGATATACCTGTCAACACCATGCGGAAATCACACAATCACACACTTTCGCGGCACTGATAAGACTATCCACAACCACACATAACACAAGCCAAATATCATCGAATAACTCTGAAAAACTCAGCCTTATTGCAGATTTACACCTCTGGACTTTTCTCTTACACTCATCTTATTCACGATCCCGGATGTAGAGTCATACGGTCGGCAGTCCAGCGTAGAGTCTGACTTCACACCGGAAAAAACTAAGTCTTTGCCTAGTTCAAAGTTCACCGGCAATTTTGCTCTCGCCGAATTCATTTGAATCCTAAGAGCCTGTTCCCGGGGCCAAAGACTTAGTGGTCACTTTAGAAAAGCGAACAATATCGTACCTTTCTGTCTCAGCCCGGATCAGGGTGATTGATCAGTTTAGCCAAATGAAACGAGAACACAATACTATATTGGACAACGCAGACTCTTCGAATCGTAATAACTTTGTTCCATTTCAGAGCTTTACATGATGCTCTCCGGGAAATTTTTCTCAAGGTGACCATTAACGAAATGTAAACCGCTAAAAGGCACCGAAGCTAGCTGGTCATTTGTCTTGAAAAGAGAATTGTGGGTATGATGAAAAAAAAAAAAAAACAGAGGGAAGGAGTGAACGGGGGTAGAAATTCGCGAAATTCTGTCTACAGCCACACCTACACAAAGCCCTAGCCACAAAACGAAGAAAAAAACGACATATGCAAACAACTCACAATAAACAAGCAGTTAGACAGGGGAAGTTGAAAGATATCACAAAATGTTTCCTAAACCGGTTTTCATAACCCCAGGTAAATATTTATAACGATAAAAAGGCCACAAATAACTTATTAACCTCGTCCGTTCGGTCATTACAGCGATTTCCCTGTAATGCCCTGTAATGACTTCGCTCTTGGTTAATAAGTTCTATGTAATGAATTCATCACTAGAGTCTATGGTGGAACATTCGACCTGGTTTGATTAATTGTTATTTAGTAGATGGAATGTAAAAAGTGTACAGAAACTGCCTTATCCCTGCTACCCTGTTCAAAGTATCTGATGACGTTATAGAAGTTGAGATAAAACTGGTCAGAAAATAAAGGTGGAGAGAAACAATATTCTCTGCTTTGGCAATGACCCTTATGTTTGATTACATCAGACGAGCAAATTTCACTACCAAGCATCGTTTCTAAGAAAAATTCTTCGCATTTTCACTGAATGAGCGTGAGTATTCTTTTCAAGTCTACTCTCATAGGAATTCACCAGATCACTTATGCAAAATTCTGCCACCTCAAAATTTCAAAACGAGGCTTGGTGGCGAAATTTGCTCGTCTGACGTAAACACGCATAAAGACAATTGTCGAGTAAGATAGAAATGCTTGATATCGGTTTTGAATGGAGAATTTGTTTACACATATCCTTAGGGCTTTGCCTCTAGTTTTATTTTTGTCTGTTCGCCACTGCTGTCAATTATAGTATGTCCTTATAATTCAAGGCGGTGAAAGCTCTGTTGTGTTTCCACCCATTTGACAATGAAGCCTACAATTACCTAAAAAGCTTTCAAGTGTATTTATGTTTTAAACGCAAAAAAACCCAATTATTTTCCTGAGAAAAATACAATTAATTCGGCCAACCGAATTTTGCTTTTTGTAGGCACAGATACGTCCACGTTTGCTGGGTTTAGAGCTTGCAGTTGTTTGAAAGGATTTCATCGTACCCATCTTTTTGAAGGCTGCAAACAATGCAAAGAAGAAGGACTACAATGTGTGGATGACCATGTTGAGCTGAAGAAGGGTTACTGGTGGAAATGGGAGAATTTGACCCACAAACAATTTTATGAATCATTTGCGCGTAATCTCTTGGATTCAAGGAACTCTTCTTCAACTAATGCTTCCCTCATCGAGTTCCCATACACTGTTCCTACGCCGCACAAATGCCCACAACAAGAGGCTTGCTATGGCGGTTTCAATTCTTCTTGTGCTGACGGCTATCAAGGACCGCTGTGTGAGATTTGTAGTGACGGCTACTACAAACAGTTTCAAACGTGCAAAAAGTGTCCAACGAAGAAATGGATGATTGGACAACTGTCGATCGTGGTGACAGTTATTCTAGTCATTATTTTAGTCATACTGTGGTCAAGTAAAAGGAAGCAAAAGAAGGAGAAGAAAGGAAGATCCACAGTGGATATGATACTTGGAAGGCTAAAAATTGTAATTGGCTTTTACCAAGTCACTGATGGACTGTTAGAGACATTTTCGTATATTAAATGGCCAGATTCTCTTTCTGTCATTGGAAAATATTCGGAGATGGTACAGCTTAATGTATTTCAGATTGCCCCTCTTCACTGCATCTTTCCTGAACTAAAGTTCAATGCTTTTAACAGCCTGTTTGCAATCCTTGCAACGAATGCCACAGCCGTCATCGTTGCGATTCTCATTTATTGTTTACGAAAGCTTCTACTCGAACGGAGTGCTTCCTCCAAAGAAGAAAAGTTAAGGAGATCTTCTCAAACGAAAGAGCTAATCTTGAGAAACCTGTTTTTCTTCCTGTACGTGACATATCTCAGTACCTGCTCCAATACAGCTAGCGTGCTTCCCCCAACTTGCCGTCTGCTTTGTTCAGACGAAAAGAAAACCCACTGTCAAAAGTTTCTTAAGACTGACTACAGTATCGACTGTGAGAGTACAGACTACAGTCGATCAGTCATCATTGCCTACATCGCGGTTGTTTACATACTACTTCTTCCCACAGCATCACTTGTAGCTCTCTGGAAAGCGCGATTGACCGTTACAAGTAAGAATGAAATGAAAGACGAGCAACAAAATCCTCATATCGAAGTGAAAAGCAGTGAAGTCAACACAGGCCTGCGATTCCTTTTCGAAAACTACCATCCGCGCTCGTGGTACTGGGAACTGGTAGACACAGTACGGAAGGTGGTCCTCACTTCAGGCCTCATCCTGGTTGGTGGTGAAAGCAGGGCATATGTCGGACTGGCTTGCGTCATGTCAGGACTCTACGGAATATTTTTTGCCTATGTCAGCCCTATAGTGGATCCTTTCGAGAACAGACTAATGCTGATATCTCTGGCTGTGACCTTTGTAAACTTGGGAATAGGAGCTGTGAGTAAAATTAACAGTGAGAACATTCCTGCCTCAATCGATCCTTATGTGGATAACATCATGTTCAAGGTTCTGGTGTTTGGAGCAAATTCTCTAGTAGTCGGTCTTCTCGTAGGTAAGTTATGTGAACTACTTCGGTTATTAATTTACCCTTCAATGGAATCATATTCATCTCTGGGTATTGTTATTTATAACATTATAATAATTATTAGGTATGGGGAATAAATCTTACCCGGGACAAGCCCAAGACAGGCTGAATTGAATATAGGTACTCCGGAACCCGACTTACTTGCTGGGGTGGGCAGGTGAGTCACCAATCACCGTTCGAGTATAACAAAGTGAAGTGAACGGGACAAAATGTACCAGTATTTCCTATTTTATATACTCATTGCCTATCATTAATTAATCCTCCGGGATATTTACAGTTCGAATGGAACGTGAATAGGAAAACTAAGGGCCTTTTTACATGGAGGTGGGAGAGCCATGATAGGTGAGGTAACATGTGGCGGGTCACCCCATCTATCATGTAAACGTGTTCAAAATAAAATGAGAGATTTTATGGACAGGCGGGTTACCTCACCTACCTGGGGTCCCCCACCTCCGTGTAAACAGGCCCTAAGCAACCACCACGACGAAAAAAAAACGTCAATAACGTTGCCTACATTTGACAAATTGAGGGGGTCCGAACGGACGCGATAAAGTTTGAAAGGACATAAATTATTTCTCTTGGCAACGTCGTCACTGCCGTCGTCGTCGACTAGTCGTCGTTGCTTAAGCTCCCCAATCACAAGTAGGGCGATGCCAGCTCCGTGCTTGCTGTTGGTTTTCGGCCAAATTTAGTTCACGGTGTAAATCGGTTAAGCTTCAATTGCCATTCTAACTGTAATTGTATTACTGTAATGCCTTAATTGAGGTAGCAATAGTACTTATGTCCAGGTTTCCAAGCAGCTGCAAAATTTAGGATTTTTCGCGTCCTTGCAAAAGATTGCAAAAATTACACGGTTCACAATTAATCGCGTTTGTTGTAACCCACAGTGAGTGACCTTCATAAATAATTATTATTATCAAAGTTAGTAAGTCCATATGTATGCAAGTACCGTTACCATTCACTCAGTAAGTGATCTATAAGACTTGAACTTAAAGCAAAAATATTCATAGAGAAGAGTAAAGACAGTGCAATAGAGGACTCCTATAAAACGCCAAGTCAACGCTTATGTTTTAAGAAGAGAGGTGACTTCAGAAAGTCCTATAGTGAATATATGTAACTATGACTATTGTTTCTTTGTAGTTCAGTATATTGTATACATCTATCGCTTTATAAAAGAATGGCTCAAGAGTCCCAAATGGTCTTTCTCTTGCTGTCTGGCCTTGCTGCTGCCTCTGAATGACCTGCAAGGAGAAGTACGTGGATTTGCTGGAAGGAATGTTTTTAAGAACCAACTGCAAACAGGAAAAATGAACATGCCGTCCATTTCATCCTCTTTCCAAGATACTGGTGCTATTAACTTTAGTTTGGAAAAAGATCAGCCCGATCTGACTGATGAAAGGAATTCTGATCATGAGGAAATACCTGGAAACAAGAGCAAAACACAAACCAAGACTCGAGTAAGCGGGAAAGAATCCATCTTTACCAAAATTTCAGTTCATAAAGTTCGAAAAATGGCATACGATACGTCTTTTTAAAGGCCTCATTTGATTAAGCCATTTTTCGCACTATTTATGTCAAAGACTAAACGCATAGTTTGGTGAAAAGTTTTCATGTGAGAGGACTGAAAAGGCGGATTCATCGTGTCGTCATGTTTACATTTTAGCTCATTAGCATCAAGTTAACAAATAGAAGATAAAAGAAGATATAGCCGCATATATTAATTAGGTTCAAAAATTAAAAGAGTTGGTAAATTTATAGAGCTTGTGCAAGTTTCAACTCTTTGCAATCAGTAACGAAGAAAATAGCGGCAAAATTACTTGATACTCGTTGAAAAAAAAAAAATTTTAAGAGAATTTCTTTGAAATTACCTTGTATATCGGGTCAAATTTTTCGGAGATAACTGAAACTGTTATGGTCTTTCAATATTCAGATATTTCTCGCTATTATTTTCATCACATAATGATGAGCCTATGCTAATGAGGCAAAAAATGTAAACAAGGATTCGCCTATTCAGTAGAACCCCGGTAATTCGAACTCTGAGAAGAGGAACTAGAAACAGTTAACCTGTCATCAGGTTCTATTTTCGTTTCTCTTTGTTTACTTACATTCCGGCGGTAAGGCGAAACCAATTTTAGCGGGACTACGGAGGAGGGAATGTATGAGAACTGCTAAAATTGGGCCTGATCTCCCGAGGTTAAAAACAGTTCGAGTTAGCGCGGGTTTGAGTTATCGGGGTCGATTGTATCTTCAATTTCGCATGGTAATAGTGATAGTTTATTGATATTTCAGCACTTCAGTATATAGCAGAGGGCACATTTAACTTATCTCATCAGAAACGATTATGCATTTTTACGATAATACCAGAAAATGGCTGTCAAATACATGATGTGTTCGTTGCCTATCTTAAGAAGCAGTAAAAAACAAGTCGCTGTAGTGTTAGTTTTAGGGGTTGTTCCTCAGTTTACAAGACAAGGAAAAGCCAATAGGATGACATTCATGGTGAGTTCCATGAACCAGAATTCGAGTTATCGAAGGAAATTCGGATCAAGGGAACGAAATTTAGTTCGAGTTAGCGGGGAATTCGAGTTAGACTGACTGAAAAGTAGGATTAATTCCAAAAGAAATGGGACTTGGTTCGAGTTATCCAATTTCGAGTTAAACCGGGGTCCTAATGTAGATTCAAAGCCGGTTTGCAAGTGTTTTTTGTCATGTTTTAGATGGCTTTCAGGCTATCATGAATTCCATCAGCTCTTTATCAGTGCTGTTTCGGTCTGTAGACACAGTACATTTTCCAAGAATTTCATTTTTCATTTGAATCTTCATTCATCATAAAATGTGTTTACTATTTTACCATGCTCTTAGGACAAAGGTCCCTTGAGCAAACAAACATAACAAAGGTTGTTGGTCTTGGTGGGTAGAGCTATAGTCGCATTGAGGACAACTTCGAAGCGACAGAAGAGCCGGTTCAGCTTACGTCATAAAATTAAAGTAGTTTTATTCTTTATTATCACTAAGCTGCATATTAATTGGCCATATTTATTGAAGTTGAAATTTGAGGGGTTTAGAAAACAAAATAAAATAACTAAAAAAACTTAAAAATGAAAACCACAAAAAAATGTAAACATATATACTCATGAAACCATAAGCTACTTCAAGGCAATAGTTAAAGCAAACCGACCTTATTAATTTTAAAACAATAGATTGAATATGAGCAATTTACGTAACATCGTGAAGTTCAAACAACGATTAAGCTCACACTTCCGGAGGCCTTTTGCTGTCGCCTATTCATCGTAGCTCAACTTCAATTAATTCAGTATTTATCTTTTATTTCAGCTTTGCTTGCTTAAAATAATATTTCGCTCGCTGTATTTATTATTGAGGAAAGTACTTACAAGAGAGAGAGAAAGTTATTCCTAGAAACCAAATTTTGCCGTTAAGAACATCGTACCTTTTATTGCGCAATTAGCTATGAATTACCGCAAAACAAACGAACATAAACCATTAAACTTTCTTGTCGGTTCTCCTCTCACATATCATACTTTAACCATATATATATTCTTGGTGTTGGAATATCCTAAATAATCCATATATATAAACCTCCTTACTCGTACTTTTCAGGTCGGTTAAGAAACGTATTTACATGATACCATTACTCTTTGTCAAGATCACATACGTGCCTCTAATTGTGAGCAAACAGATTGCATGCTTTTGTCCACTTCCCGCTATCTTCCCGCTGGGCGCATTGCAGCCAAAAGATCGGAATTTCTAGACAAAGAGTTTTGCACCGATCTTTTATTCTATTTTGGTGTTTGGGTTTCAAGTTATGTTAAAAACAGTAGTTGGATCGTTTGGTTTGATATTCGCTCAAATTTGGCTTGTAAGCTGACCTAGATAGTTAAGTTTCAGGAATCTGGTAGACGAAGAACCACTTTGTGGATGTGCTACCTTTAAAACATTATTTATTTATTATTTATTTATTTAATTAACTTGAAGAAACACGTCTTAAAGCGTGTATTCAAGCTTACTAAAATCGGAAACAAAAACAAGTTCGTTAGATAGAAATAATTACTTGCTTAGTAGGTGCCACCAGCTGTGGAAAGGAAAATAAGCAATTTCCTAAACAAAGTTCGTTTGCTTAAACTGAAATTAGTTCTCACTTTTGCTTGAATAATAATCAGTCTTGCATACCTCATCAAATTTAGTTAATTGCCACGTGACCCAACACCTTTTGAGTTCTTTGTTCTCAGTTGGGCCATTTTCAGCTAAATTTTACTTACTTTCCTAATTTCAAACTATAATTTCTTTCCACAGAATCTTAGGAAAGATAGGTTTCTTTCAAACCATTGTTTTAGTTTCTTGTATAGGAATTTGGTTGTAGAGATATTTCCAGTTTTGCAAATTTTTCCCACGCGCAGCTGAATTCAACTAAATTTTGGTTTCTTTCGTTCTATCAGGTCTAGCACCTCGTAAAGGCAGATTTAGACGGTACGATTTTTGCTTGCGGCTAACGTGCGCGACTAGCATACGTCATCACTTTCGACCATCCACACGCGCACAATTTTCCCTTACGACATCCACATGTGTCGTACGAATATCGTGTGCATTAACACGACACGATTTGTCGTGAAGTCATGACGTATGCTAGTCGCGCACGATAGTCGTAAGCAAAAATCGTGCATGTAAATCGGCCTTGCCTTAACACCTACTTTCTGCAAATGAATACTATGTAGTCTTGCTAGAAACCAATTAACTTTATTGTTCAGAAAAAATACAACCGCTTTAATGTAAGCTAAACTTGATTCACTTAAGGATCTCATCTGAAGACTCAATTAGTAGAGTTCTACGAGCTGTAAGGAAGCGAATAAACCGCGTTCAACTCAACTCCTTGTGTTCCTAAACTTCTCTCAAAATCTATAAGATTCCAACATTTAGTTCCCAAAAGTGATCAACATCAATTTTATCCTAACAACGTCAAAACAGAATGGAAAGAAATGATCATGGGAATTAATTCCATGACCACTAGTTGGAAAATGCGTAGTATCTTGTATCAAATTATCACAACTAATTTTTTTAAGAAAATGTATTGACATCGGTACAGAGAATTTGAATGTGGATATTGGGGCTTTAAGGGTTGTACGTGTTATATAACTGAAGGGGAGGAAAGAAATTCAAAGTGGACAGACGGCAAATTGTTGTTACTTGAAATAACTGTTCTCCCATAAAATGCCAAAATGCGTGCGAACGGTTGCGGGAGACTATTGCGGCATCCGGTGTGAAGTGGACCATGGGATGGTTGCTTTCCTTGACCGCGCTTCTCTCGTTTATATTAGGGAGCTCAAGCAACAACGACGGAAAAAAGAAAGTGTTTAAATAAGAAAAGAGTTCAACTCCTACAGGATTTGTTTGGAACACCAACATGGCCGCCATTTCATTGTATGGCCGCCTTTGGGTCGTGTGAAAACGCTTGATAGGAGACTGAGTGGCAACTGGGGTCGAGTCAGCAAACAGACGGTCAGGAGGGTCACCAATATGATACAATTTGACACCTTAATTTATTTCTTTAGGGCAATATTTAGATTAGAGTTAAATGAGCAAAATGTTGACTTACTTGTTAAGCGGGCTGCATGTGACAGCCTGTGTTGAAGTTTAGGCCGAACGCCGTTTTTGTTGTGTTGTCCAAATGGCACTATTAACCTAAGCTCGGTGAATATTAAATTTAATGCACGTTTTGATACGGTACTTGTCACGAACGAGTGAATCACTTTTTATGACTGTCAAAATATTAAATATAGCATAGATGTAGAAATAAACTCGGCTTACCTTAAACTGGATTTTTTGTTGCTTTATCTGTGCAAACTGGGCTCACTTCATTGCCATTTTCTATAATTTTGCGGCTCGTTGGTACATGTAGTTCGTCGAAATGCATTTTGTAATTACCGAAAAATAAAATCTTAGCATATAAGAGAGATTAATTTTTTTGATCTAAAATCACTGTTCCGTTCTTACGGACACTCGCTCTTGAAAAAGACGTTTTGGCTGCCATAGCGGTTTAACTCCGGCCAGATTGCAAAAAATCAGCGTTGATTGCACAGTTTTCCAAGAGGACTGGAAGGGGACAGACGCCATTTCCCTTGAAACAAAACATAAAGTTAACTTTGAGTTATCTTCAAGGGAAGTTATGTAGTGTCCACACTATGAAAAAAAACTTAAATCTTTCTGTTAAGGCTTTATTAAGACGTTCACAACGCGAAAAATAGTAACAAAATTGAATGTGTATGAATTACAGGCAGAAACAGTATTCCGCTTTTTAGAACAAAATTTCTGATTCAACAAAAAAATTACGGATGCACTTACTCTTGGCAAATGAGAGCAATCAAGAGAAAAGATATTTCTTTTCTAAAAAGTTGGTATTCACTCGTTGCTCATGGATTAGCTGAACTCCACATAAGTAACAGGAGTAAGAACGGCTGCAAAGCTGGCAGGAGCCGACACTGTTTGTGGTACAGCGGACGCAGCAGTCACAGTGGGCTTGGTAAGAAGAGTAGTGACGTAATGTATGGGGGTGGGTGAGTTTACGTGATGACTGATCATCGGAGAGGTTTGGGTATATTCTGCACGAGCCCCGACTTGGCCTGACTTGATGTAGTAGCGGAATAGAGTAGTTGGTGAAGGCGGCTGGACTGTGATGGTTGCATTGCTGCCTGTCACGGGTGGAGCGCAGTATTCAGAACTTGTAGTGTAGTGCAGGGTTCCTGCTCTCATTTGTACAGGGGGCACGATAGTGCCACCGCCCAACACCAAGGGTTGGACCTTTGGCTGGATAGCAGTTGAACCCATTCCTGGAACGGGTGGGGGCTGAATGGAGTTTCTAGGTATGGTAACATTGGTGGTGGTCCCCCACCACGTTTCGTTAGACGGCTATGGATTCGTCTCTCCGACATGTTAAGCCGAGCAGTAACGGGAGGCATTCGGACTAGTGAAGAGGGAAGACGATTGACGTTCGACCTCATGTCTGATAGCAACTCCTCCAGCTGATTAAGTACTGAAACAAAAACAAAAACGATAAATTTCCTTCTGTTACATCCAAGAAGGGAAAAAGATGAAAAGTCCTATCCACTGGATAAATCACTATCTAGGGGATATTACAATTTGTTTCCCTAATACGTATCCACCAGATTAATCGCCAATCAGTGGATAGCGCTATTGGTCGCTATACAGCTTTTGAACAACTGGGGCCTGGTGATATAATGGTTTTTTTTTGTCTTAAACGAACCATAAACTTATCAGTCATATAACAGGGTGACTATGTTATATACAGTTGTAATCACAACGAGTGAAGTGATTATGGAAAGAAGTGATAAAAATGTATATTCTCAAGTAGATAAAATTCACTTTCACAGTCTCTCACAAAACATCCAAAAAGTAGGGAGCGATGAAAGGCGACAATATTCACAGGCTTATAGTCCGAAAGATGCTACTTTAATTGTGATGAATAAGCAACATGCAAGAATAGCTCACGATGGACACTATATCAGCCTACAAACGCTTTGAAGTGTGCAGCAAGAATTATCTCTAATGGTTCCTCGCCCCGTGTCACGATCGGCTGGCTTTATCACGGTTTCTCCCCACCCTCCCTTTATGGAAAGCCTATTCACAGGCTGTTGAAGCCATAAACTACTAAACGTTCTGTGTGAAAGATTACCTTATGAAGTACAGCATTGGCGGCTTTGCTAACGACTCCTTGGACAAATGCTGGTGACTTTCCGCTAAGCACTCAAGTTCCGTAGATCTACCGAACAAAGACAAAAAATATGACTTACTTCAACCTCGCAGATCAACTAGGGGCTGAAATAGTATCAAAAAGGGCCACTCGAGTTTGTCAAACATTGTAAGGACTGGTTCCAAGTTGTAGAGAGGGGAGAGAAAAGGCGCACTTCTAAGAAAAGAGCTTTTTGTGACGACTCAGCTGGTTAAAATCCCTGCACATCTTATATCAGTTCTCGAAAATGTGCTAAAACACCGGTCCGTTCCTGCAGATTGATTTGATTCTTACCTTGCATTTAAGCCATGGCAGGGTGGTTGGCATCTTGCCTGAGTTTCATGGTATCGGCTCGTCTCAGCTGTTCTTCTATTATAGGCGCTTGCTCTAACAACTTAAAACAACACAGCACAGAATTTACAAGGGAACCATGTACGCAGATCAATAGTGAGACGCCCAGACTAACAAAAGGCGTCAACTATGCCCGGGGCGGGTATAGCAGCTGGCAGCGAGGTCTGGAACGGAGTTTACATGATCGCCGCCCCAACAAATTTTCCTTCAAAACAATTATGGCGGAGAATGCAGACATGGAAGGACGACGACTTTTTGCCCTGTTTTATGTTTCCAGGCGTCCAAACATGAAGAAAAGGTTTCTTTTAACTCTTTTAATGGACCTTTTGGACATCAGGAGGCGTGATGTATGAACAGTTCATGGGTGACATCACTTATCGTTATTCGGAACCGCGGCAAGTTTAGTTAGTTTTAAACTTCGTGACTTTTCGAGCGACCAGCCTGCTGCATCTCTTATATTTTCCACTTAACAGCGGTATTATACAAGATTATCTTCCATATCCTAAACATATGCTACGAGCAAAATATATCAGTATAAGTCTTGCAACAGTCATACGATGTGAATGTTCATTAAACCAATTTTCTACTTCGCCGTTCGTAAGTTTGTATGTACACCGGGAGCCACGACAAATATTTATGGGCGTAGATACAGAACACAAGGCCAATTTAGTAAAAGACAGGGCAAATGTTCCAATCACTTTGCCTCACATATGCTGGGTCTGTCAGTATAAGTTTAATATCACAAGGCTGGGAGGGGTTTACTGAACCTTGAAAACCTTCACTGGAAACTCACTGGAATGATAATCAATAATTTTCCAACAGCAATACCGTAGTTAGTAGTTTTGTATTAGATAGTGACTTCGGTTTCAAGTATTTCCTTCAAATTATTGGTACAAAAATTACCCTATGGTTCTGAATTATACTTGACATGATTATAATGGTTAAGAGTGGGGACCAGGCTAATTCAGTTGCTAATAAGAGTGAGTACATCAGAGAGGGGTATGCGTTGAAATAATCCGTCAAAGGACCGAGGAACAAGAGACAGAAAAAAGAAAACTGAATGTTTTGCAAAGTTTATAAAGAGAATCAGAAGAAGCTTGAAAAATGTACAACTTCAATTTATTGTTTGTGTAAGTTATGAATGTGATTTACAACTAAAATAAACACGGTAAAACTGATTTTTTGTCAACCACCAAGAGAAATTATTGTTGGGCTTGAGCCCAACCCTCTCAACAGTTCTTTCTACGATACTACCCTTGGCTTATTTGGCCTAGATGGGTATGTGCTGCTGATTGAGGGTGGTGACCATTTCACCCTTTAGAGTTTTGAACAGGGTGTCTTTTTAGGCTGTAAAGGTTGATGAAGAGCTGTCTATAGTTACCGACCCGCTGTTCTTAGTAAAATCAATTAAATTTGATAGCTATGGCCAAGGGTGGCGTCAAAGGAAATTTTAGCTGGGGCAGGTTATTACGAAGTTTTCTTCTTTTTCTCCCTAAAACCTGAAATTGAATAGTATACCTAATTCCAGACGCTCCATTATATTTCCGGCTAGATAAAGGGACACAGTCAGCAATGGGACCGCGCTGACATGGACACTACTTTTGCCAATTTGAAGAGCGTTTACCTCAACCCGAGATCAAACCTATGCGTCGGATACATCTAGAAATCCGCTTCAAACGTGCCTGGTGTTTTTTGGATAAAAACGGTATTCAAAGGAAGTTGAGCAGGAGAGGTGAGAAATCGCCTTCGTTTGTCAAAATATCAAGAGAAGTAATCAGTAACTTGGCAAGCAAATAATCGTTAAATATATATATTTGGAAAATCGTTGGAAAAAGTTACATATATTTGGAAAATCAAGCTTTCTCAACCGTGAATCTTCGACAATGGTTCAGACTTCGTGAAATTTTTCACCTCTATTGATGCTGAACTTGGAATTATTCATCCATGTTTGGCTTTCCCTGGAAGAATCCATCGGTGAATTCTCAATGGTATGTAAAAAACGAGTGCTGTGATATGGCTTAGGGCCTATAATCAAGATTTCAGCTTGTAACCACTTCATCTCTACAAGGTTTGTTTACAGTATTCCGGATACGCCTTTGTTTCAGGCGCGTCTTGTGACATGAAAATTAGGTAAGAAATGGTATCTAATGCGCATGTGCTTCAACTGACTGTGTCCCTTTAAGCCTGCGGAAGATAATAACACGTTTGTAAATCATAAGTGAGCCGACTTCTTATGAGAGCTAAGATCTCCTTACCTTTTTATATGGAATAACAAAGTGTCTTAACAATCCTTCCAGAAACCCGTGGAAGAATTTGTGCTATTTTCATTTCCTTAAAGGTTTTTGTTTACAGGGGTGCAAATTTTCTTTGATGAAATTAAATAAGGAAACTGAAAAGATTAGAGACGTTACAAAATCCCTCTATGATGTTTGTAAGGTTGACATTTACAAGGATTTTCTCAAGTTATTTTTTATTGTAAAATATCTGCCAATTGACACAAGACGGGCATCATAACATTCGGTAAATTGACGCAAGTAGTGCGTTGTAAAATCTCTGTAAAATGACATAAATAGGGACACAAAAAGTCTCTGGAAATTGACACTAGTTAGACATTGCAAAATTTATGTAAAGTGACTGGGCTTGATTGAAGTGGGAGAAATCAATCCAAGAAAATTGACTCAATTAGAGAGGTGTAATCTCTGTCTATGAACAAACGCAGGGCATTCCAATAAATTGACGAGAGGAGGTGAATGTTACCCAGAACTTAAGTTAAAGATGATAAACAAACTTTACGCCAACATTTCATTTTGCGTAAAATTGTCTAAATGTTTACGTTATAAGCGTAGAATGTGTGAGTGTTATATTGTAAGGCCTATATAGGGTGTTTACATATATTTAGAAAAAAAACATAAAGCGCAAACTATCTCCCGTATTAGTGCATAGAGAACATCAGCAGCTGTCGTCATTGGTTCAATTAATGTATTTATTGTGTCAAAATAGTTTTATTTTTTAAGTTTCATCAAGCGAAGTCAAGGGAACTTTATCGAAAATGTGGCGCCTATACTGAGATTTTTTAGTTATCGGCATTTATTTGTAATAACAGTTTCTTAAATTATTTTCTGGTGATAAAAATTTGCAAAATTCAAAGTCCATTTTCTTGGTTAAAATGTTTATCTTAATTTAACTGTAAAACAAACATAATAACCTGTGTGATCATACTTGGGTAGACAGGTTTATATATTTTTGGCACTTTTATGACATTAGGTTCCCTAACCTCTCGGCCGTTACACACGTTTTTTTTACTGTATTTTTGTCCCTACTGACTACAAAAACATCATACTGATTCAATTGTTGGAATACTTCTTTATACTTCTTTGGACACATTTGCATCACTTATTACCCTACTGAAGCTGAGATATTTCTCCTGCTGTCGCCACGCGCAATAAGGAATACCGACCCGCTGTCTGATAACTGTGACTACGGTGGCGTCAAAAGAAATTTTAGGTGGGGCAGGTAATTACGAAGTTTTCCTCTTCTTCTCTCTAACAATTATACCTGCGTCCGTCCACTAAGGACTAGTTACAAAAAACAATGAAAACTATGGACCATTTACAGAGGTAATTTAGCGTCTGTAATTCCTAAATGTAACGACTACTTATGGCTGGAGGTAAGATCTCCCTACCTTTTTATATGGAATAACAAAGTGGCTTCAGAGTCATTTCATACA